TGGTACTTTGGACCTGTATCTAATTGATTTTTGCGGTACTGTACCAGTACACAGAACTAGTATTGATATGCAGCCCTAGTTGAACCAGTAGAACACTGCTGCCCACCTGTCCTCTGTACTGTGCTGCACCCATCTCACCACAGCCTCCCACACTCTTGTCTCCTCTTTAACATCCAGCTCATCATGGCTGATGATCTCAGTCAGCTGATCCACACTCAGGCTGCAGAACTCCTCACTGGAGGAAACCTGTGGGTAAGGTTATGATTAAGTTCATCTGTGTTAGTAGTTACATGTTTGAAGTTATAAAACCATTGTAAGAATACTGGACATTGAACAAGCGGGGTTCAAAATACTGGGTGCATGTGTACCTTAGTGCACCCAAATTTGGAGCTGTGCACCCAAACATTGTAGCTTTACATATGTAAAGATGTTAAATGTATACTACTGTAGTAATACAGCATATTGTTGACATCTAAGTACCAGAAAAACAAGAAAATCCTTGTTGTAGTATTTTCTTTATAAATGAAACATAAGTAGTTTTTGCTAAAATTCTACATGTACATGGTGCACCCAAATACTTTTTTGTGCACCCAGTTTCTTAAGTTGGGTCCACCAGTGCACCTATTCCCAGAAATGAATTTCGAGCCCTGACAACAGTCACTAGTACTAGTACTGAGAGGGGTGAAAGAGGCTATCAATTTTACATCAGGGCCCATCACCCTTCACTCAACTGTGCCGGGGGTTGAAATCGTTTATCGGATGCCTTTGACCCAGTGTTGATGTTACACTTCAGAGACGCCACGTGACAAGTATCACTGGGTCATTCTATATTGAAGAAGGCCAGAGTGACTGGTCAAAAGCTCTAGGTAAAAACAATAATATTATTACTATATTCTTTCTGTTAGAACAAAATCAATAACATGTGGATTTGTGAGTTATTTTCAAATGAATGGAAATCCAAACATACATGTACTGAAATTCAACAGTTCAAAGTCTTGAAATTAATGTAATAACAATGTACAAATGTACATTGTATAAGAAAACCAACCTTCACAAAGTGCCTACAGATATACCGTAGACATCGCTTCAGGACACTGCTGACAGAGAAGACATCGGCAAACTTGTACAGGTCCACACAGGTGGAGCGCTCCACATTCCTGGCCATGTAGCTGCTGCAGGTGTCTCTCACATAGTCCAGCTGCAGGAGGTCAGCTGCCTGGTACAGGTGCTGCACTCTGTCCAGGGACACATGGAGGGTTCCCGAGTAGATGTAACTCAGGATCTCCCCAAATGTGTCTCCATCCAGACCCTGGAGGAGAATAATTATGTAATGATGTACAAACTTGAAAAAAAAACCTGGAGTATATGAATTATGAGGCCACACTGACTTAATTTTATGGATGACATCCTCGGAAGACCCCAAAACTAGTGCACGTGGGCGAATTAAAAAAAATTCCACACAGAAAAAAATGCTCCTAAACCTAAGAAATACAATTTGCGGTAGTACATAGCAACTTTTACAAGTCGCCACATGCTGGCCTTTTGCGAGTTGGCACAGAATAAGAAATTGGGCTATGACTCAAAGCAATCCTCACCATTGAGCGTATGGTGGTAACAAGCATAAGCTAGGCCTGATCTCTTATTGTATAGAATGTTTTATTTGATTTTGTATAAGTTATTTTGTCTCTGCTGCTACCTTTCAGTTATTTAAATGGCTGATCAATTTGTTATATTTATCTTTGGAATTATGATCAGTTGGACATTATGTTCTATTCAGTTATTTAAGTTATTTATACCTTTGTTAATTTTGTGGGCACCTTTGTTGTTTACGTACAATGCTGGATTATGTTCAGATTATTTTGTGCTTTTTTTGGTCGACCTCTGACCTCTCCTATTGATTTTGAACTTACTTTATTATTTTGTTATCATCATTATGTACAAGTTTTGTTATTTATGTTTCATTTTATTGACCCCAGGAAGGATAGTGCTTTTAAGCACTAATGGGGATCGAAATAAACAAACAAACAAACAGTACTGAAGTCTCGAGTTCTGTGGAGTGTCCGCAGTCTGGATGCCATCCTCCGTAGTTACCGCCGGCTCCCTATTGTCACTAGCTACCATGGACTACGGAGGATGGCACCCAGGCCTGAGCCTCATCGGAGGCAAGGACATTATATATTGTCCTTGTCGGAGGTAATTTTTTTTTTAGAACAGGTGAAAACCAATGTGCGCGCAGATGTCATTGACCCACCTATTGTTCTGTACGTAGGATATTTTCGTTGTACCGGGCATGTTTATTTGTCTGTATATCTACATGTCTTAGACCTTACGAAAGTCGCTGTACTTTTGTTGTGTCAATAAAGTTATCTCTGTCATCCATAAAATTAAATCAGTGTGGCCTAACACAGCAAAAGTTGACCATATTATTCCAGTCCTGATGTCATATTTTTGCATGCATATTCAATGATCTACAGTAACAAAACTACATTAAAACTATATAAATTGATAATAAATCAATATATAGAAGTATATTCTACAGTTAATTTTCACTGGAAACAGTCTAAAGTGCTCAGTGCTCAATAAAGTCAGCAAAGCTGGCATTAAAAAAAATTATTATTGACAGACAAAATAACAAGAAAACAAAACATTAGGGGGGGTAAAATGGGCTCTCCTGTTTTCCCCAGTTCTATCTAATATGTTTCATCTTGGTAAGCTCCGTGCTCTGTTCTATTGAACCCTGTAAACATTACGCCATCCTTTCTAGTACCTGTAAAACAACCGCGTTCTGCCGACTTTCCGCCATGTCACTTGTAAACATGGCTCTGAAGTAGGGGCTGGCCGCGGACAGAACAAGCCGATGGCAGGGAAACCGCCGACCCTCGACTTCAAGGACGACATCCTGCAGTTACCCTTCCTTCTTTAAGTCACCCACGGTTCCAAGAAACCCGTGCAGATAGCTCTCGTCTTGGTAGGAACGAGGACGAACTGCACCGTCTTGGTCTGCGGCAGCCATGTTGATGATGATCAAGGTGTTGTACCTCTGAGAGGGAACCACGTGGCACTTTGGTTAGGCCACACCGCCTTAATTATGGCTTCACTCCATTTTTTCATAAGTGATATAATTTACACACATGTATACATGGAACATGGCTTACATGATAAATTAAATGTACAGGAGTTCTATATAACATGTTTCTCTTACCTTTTATGTATTACATATTACTCATACATAACGTTATATGACTATCTGTCACGTCATTAGATTTAATTAATAAAGTAATAAAGTTGGATTAGGAGACCGTAGACCTTCAATTTAGTATAACGTTATGGTTTACTACATGTAACATCTGTGTCCATAATATCACCAAGGTCCATAATATCGCCACCTTGAGAAATAGTGTGCTTAAAGATATTCTTACTTCAACATACCCTAGGTATGTACATTTGATGTCTGAAGGAGTGCATACCAAACGTATGTTGCAGTAAAAATATCTTTAAGCACACTGTTTCTTAAGGTGACGATATTATGGACCCTGGTGATATTATGTACACAGATGTTACTAGCCTGACTGAACCTTGCTTTTTGCCGGGTCCCTAGTAGTCCGCCAGCCCTCTTGGGTGGCGGACTATGTAGGGAGCCCCCCGGAGCTTGGGTTTCACAGGTTAGTTTACTACCATTCCTCAATACATTCAGTACTCATTGTTCTTGTGTCAATGTCTGCAATTTGTCCACAAATCGGCTGCAATTTGTCCACAAGCAAACAGGTGGATGGGTCCTTTGAGACAATCCTGGTGCATTGTCAAACGTAACGCTATTTGTTTCATGGATCATTTGAGTCGAAATCTAAAAAAAGAAAAGAAAATCCTTTTAGTTTTCTAGACCTGATACCTGTAAATAACATGTCAAACACCGTATGTCAAAGAAGCCACCAGGCGGCTTGTTTAACATACGATGGTGCTCTCACGCATACGTTCGGCCACGTCGCTACGCCACAGAAAGTAAATTTTATGGATGACACCCTCCACAGACTCCAAATGTAGTGCGATAGGGCGAAAAAAATAAGGCGGGCAAAAAAAAAAACCCAAAAAGATTAAAGATTTCTCTATTTTCAAATGTTGATATGATAGACCTTCTTAATCAAGAAATGATACATGTAGCATGTGTAGTGCGCTAAGTTTACTGCCAACTACTACAAACTCCATTTCTCACTAAAACAACTTTTGAAAAATAAACCACCATAATATTTAAAAGGAATAAAATGCATCACTGCATCAAAGTAAAAGACAAAATCAGAGCCTTGTAATTGTCTTGTCTTGAGTTCTCTCTTCATATTTATCTGCCATCCACTCTTCCGGCATGGCAACAACATACATCATTGCCTTTTTTTGGCATGTTGACCACTGACAGAGGGAACAAAATGTCTTGTTTCTCTCCACAATCAGGCGAAAATTAATCATCCATAAAAATTACTTGCTGTGGCCTTAGCTACAACACAAGATGAGCTCCCTGTTAACAAATTTCTGGATCCGCCACTGATTGTACACCATTCATGCCCTGGAGTTTGTTCATTTGTATCCTACTGAAAGGGGTGTTGATTTCACACTGTTCGGTTTCGCTAAGCTTTGATTCGATATCCACAATCTATTATGTATATATTCATGCCTGTGGAAACGAATTGGCCTCATTAGATAAAATAGCCGGCAGGTGTCCGGATATGTCGGCAAAAATAAACATGTGCATTGTGATCTTTCAATGCCGCCAGCATTCTCGTATGACTTCACATTTCAAATGATTGTTGTCATGACAACGCTAGCGGTAAGGCTGTGTGAAACTCTGTACCACTGACGTAGTAACTACGTGCTTATTACCAGAAGTGCTTAGGTGCGGCCGACAGATTGTCGAAGGTTGCCATCTAGTTATCTTCGGAAAAAGGTGGAAAGCCTCCAAATCAGCGTTTCTTGCGGTAAGCAACACACTTTTCCTCGGCGAGCATCGCAACATGAACGGCAGCACGGGCAACCTCACCGGGGGAATTCGAAACTACTCCACGGTGTACGAGAGTTTCTGGCCGTGTTTTCTCTGGCACACGGAGAACAACACGGAGTATGACCTGGCCGTGGCTGCGTGCTCTCATCTCCCCAATCCGTTTCTGGGCGAGAACAAGAAAGTCGGGATCGCCTCCGCCGCTGTCGGGACAGTCGCTCTTCTCACGAACCTCGTGGTTCTGTCCGGTGTTCTGAAAAACTACGAACTGTCGAAACCCATGTACATGTTCGTGGCAAACCTGGCTATGGCGGACTGCTTGGCGGGTTTGTTCTCGTTCTTCTTCTGCGCCAGTGTCCAGTTGGAATTGTTTTCACCGTGGACAATGATGGGCGTATACTGTACCTACTTTTTGGTGTTGGTCTCATCAGCAGTTGGTGTGGTCCTCCTGTCCGGGGACCGTTATCTGGCCATCCTCCACCCGATATTCTACCAGACCCGCATGTCTGGGCGACACGTTGCCGTGAGTTTGGGGATCGCGTGGCCAGCTTGCGTGCTCGTCTGCCTGTCTCCTCTCATGGGCTGGAACTGCGGCAGTACGGACACAGAGTCCTGCTTAACGTTCCTGCCCGAAGGTTACCCGATTCTGATCAACACCATCTTGTTGACGGCCGTAGTGATAGTGGTCTTCGTCAACATCAGAATCTTCATCGAACTGAAGCAGCGCTTCTCCAGACTGGGTCCCCCCGAGAACCCTCGAGACGATCTGCCCGCCGCACGGCGCAGGGAACAGCGAGTCGCCGAAAGACAATACGAGCAGCTACAGATGGTATGGAAGATGCAGGTGACCGTTGTCATCATTTCAGCGGTGTTCATCATCTTCTGGCTGCCGATCTGTATCGGGAGTGTGCGGGTCCTCTTGTGCTCCGCAAGCGAAGACTGTGAGGTAGAGGCTAAGCCGTTCTGGGGGTTCCTGATCGCGCTGTGCAATTCGGCGATCAACCCGGTCATCTACGCACTCAGGATCAAGAAGATTCGGGAAGCCGTGCATCGTAGGGCCCGACGACTCGCCAACGCGGTTCGGGAGAAATTGGGGCGGTCATCGAACCAAGTGGTCAACATTCAGATTATTGGAGGTGCGGGGACAATGAACGCTGTTGCTGGACCGAGTACGTACAATCGGACTGACCAGCCGGCTAAATGGGCGGTCAGTCGAAGAGTAGATCCCGGAAACGATCCGAGCTCAAGCCGTGTTGGAGATGCGAGGGCAATGGACGTTGTGGCTGGACCGAGTACGGATAATTGGACTGACCAGCCGCACAAATGGGCAGTCAGTCGAAGAGCATCAAACCGTGCTGGAGTTTCCGGGACAATGGACGCTGTGGCTGGACCGAGTACGGACAATCGGACTGACCAGCCGCACAAATGGGCAGTCAGTCGAAGAGTGGGTCCCAGAAAGGCACCGAGCCCAAGACATCTAAATGTGCTCTTCTCGGCCTCTCCAAGGTCGGTGAAGATTCCCGGTTTAGCCGTCTCAAGCAGCGAGGAAGACACCGACTGAGCAAGGTGAGTAATGTCTTAAGCATCTGAGAGGACAGAAGTATCAAGAGGTGATGTATCTGTATGAATTTTATAATAATATGTAGTATTACCAAGTTCACTGGTGCACCAAACGCTGATTAAGGACGATTCATGTGAGTTTTGAATATTAACAGAAATGATTCTGTAATTGCATAGATTTGGATGCAAAATACTTCATATCGTAAGATATAGAAAGATTATAAGATGATGAATCATCATTGAAAGTTCTATTTGTTACCAAGTTTCTAGTTCTTAGGTTCTTTAGTTCCTAGAAAAAATAAAGGATAGAGGATAAAACCTATGCAAAAAAGTTCACGGCGAATATAAGTGCTGTTAGCAACTGAGAGACAACCTTTTGGTGACAGGCCACAAAACTACGAAATGTGTATATGGTAAACATATCAGAAGTACGTCGGTGAAGGTCAGATATCCAGATAATAAGCTACGCCCAAAACAGTTACTCAAGCAACTGGATATGATTTTTGAAGAGCATCAGAAGTAAGCTGTAAAAAGCACCTACCCGAGTTTTGAACCATGAAAAGCACACGTTGACAAGGTACCCCTAATTCCCAATTTCATCCAAAATTCGTCGTGTGTGGTCGTGTGGCGCAACGGCAGCGTGCGCGACTCGGAATCAAGAGGTCCCGGGTTCGAGTCCGGGCCCTGACATGCCACCGATCTTGTGCCCTTGGGAAAGGCACTTTACACGACTTTCCCCACTAGACTCAAGTGAAAATGAGTATTGTCGGTCTAGTATTCGTTTCTATGTGCCGGACACAACTGTTACACCAGCAACAGCTGCCTCTGTTCCGCGTGTATTGCACTGTTGCAATTTCAATAAAGCAAATCCAAAATTCGAATCCAAAATTCCTCGATTTCTTACGGCATAACCTGTCTCCGTTCGACCAAAACAAACCCTCCAATAGCCTCAGACCACAGACCAACCTCTAGAGTTGTACGTGCCACGCAGGCAGCTCAAACAAGCCTAAAAGTAAGTTTTTTTTTCAAGAAAAAAGAAACCTCACCAGCTGGAAAATGATCAACATTGATCAAAATTCACAAAGAAAAAGAATTGGTTTGGATGCGTTCATCAATGGCCCATCTGCGACTGCGCGAATTGGTTTCCTGTGCCCTTCGGGCATGCTCGGAAAATTCTATAGGACAGAATTCTATCCGAGTATGCCTGTAGGGAGTACAGTCTTCCTGATTAAATGAGCCAGTAGAATATGACCACAGGCATCCATGGCCACTGATTAGGCCACACCAAGTAAATTTTATGGATGACGTCCTCGCGCGCATTGATTTTGGCCTGTTCCTAGAAAAAAAACAAGAAATTCCGCTTCCTGTAACCATGCTGGAACTATGACCAAAGAGTCACAACATTAACAGTGCTGCAAATCGTCAGATTGACATGAAACCCGTAACGCGAAATGGGTAAAGAGCACATTTGCCGCAAAACAGGACAGGACGATAACTGCTGTTCCACCTGATTTATTGCTGTTTTGATGATGACTAAAAGACTTGCTTGTTACACTGTGTCACCTCATTCAATTTGTGTCCTAACATTTGTCGTCTCTCAGTATATTTCTAATCTAGGCATCTTGTTCTTAGGGCCCTTCTTGTTTTTTTTCGCCCTCTCGCATTAGATTTAGGGTCTCCAAAGGACGTCATCCATAAAATTTACTTGGTGTGGCCTTATCAAAACACCACGGGCTCACGTTGGTTCAGCGGCAGATTATCTTCGTGCGGCACATCAAAGCGTAGGCTTGGTAACAACAGATAAAAACGTTATTTGTGCCATAATATCATCAACGGGCACTGACGTGAATCATAGGGTGAGAAAATTAAACATTTCAACTGGACCCTTCATGTATTTCAATTTGATTTCCTACCAATTTCGTTAGTTAAGAGCTAATTTGACACCCTGTCATGGCCCAGGGCTTTCCCACCTCCGCATTGTAAATCAAGTCAGGCCACACTGATGTGTTTTGATGGATGACATCCGCGTGCGCATTGATTTTCGCCTTGTCTAAAAAATCACCTCCTCTAATGCTCTGGCCTGGATGCCATCCTCCATAGTCCATGGTAGCCAGCGACAATAGGGAGCCGGCGGTAACTACGGAGGATGGCACCCAGGCTGCCGAAGCTCCACGGAACTCAAGAATTCGAAATCAGCGCCGACTCATAAAATGCAGCAAAAGGCCAGCATATGCCAGCTTGTCGTAAATGTCGCTACAGTATGTACTACCGCAAATTCACAATCCCAGCTTTGTATTTCTGTGGTTTTGCAGCATTTTTGGCTGCTGGAATTTTTTAGTCGCCCGCGCGCACTAGTTTTGGGATCTTCAGAAGATGTCATCGATGTGGCCTCACTGAAAAAGGATATTATCGTCATAGGCCTTGATAAAAGATAAAGCCTTGACACCAGATAAAACCCAACTCTATAGCTATATCTTCAATCCTGTTTCTCGGTTTAGACAGTACACTCTCTCTAGCCGATATTCGCCATCAAACTCTCTGCATGCCACCCCTCCTAAAATTATGCAAACTTTTTTTAAGTTCTAAACTTTTTTCTTTTTGTCAAAACCTATTCCCTGTAGTATGCCCTTGTCGCAACACCTTCTAAAATTCCACTGCGAGACTTTTGAATTTGCTAATAACTGTAAAATGGCATAGCTTAGATATTGCTTCATTGTAAATCTTATAAATGGTTGTTGGTTGAATTCCTTGTTGTTATTGTTGTTTACCTACAGGGCAACAAAAGGTCGACACCAAACCGGACCAGGAAGCCTAGTCACCCATGTCTGGTCACGTGAACAGGGGGATGGAACACTTGGATTGTACATGTAGTCATCAACTAGATTGAGACAGACATCTTCAATGTTCGTGAACATAGATAACTTTATTGCGCAACAATTGTACAGTGTACAAAGTATGGCATCTACTAACTTAAGTAAGTACATGTCAACTACATTTTCATAAGGCTAATCTAATACAAAAGTGGGTGGCTAGTATGAGATAGGTATCAACTTATACAATCGTTTAAGGAGTTTCTAATATCCATACAGTCTTTAATATATATCCCTATGTATAGCATGTAGGGGTTGTCACAAGTCAATATGTATTTAAATTTTCTTTCCAAGTTCATTGTGGTGAATGCTGGCAAAGAATCTGATAGTCTAGTGTATAGTGCATTGCGCACATTTATATATTTAGGACACACAATCAAAAAGTGATATTCGTCCTCAATAAGCTCTGGAAAAAATGGACAAACCCTCTGGTCATTGGGAATTTTATGGAATCTTCCGGTTTCTATACTAAGTTTGTGACAGCCAATTCTGAGTTTTGTGATTGCGCTACGTATATCAAGTCTTTTTATGCTTGAAAGGTAGTTTTCTTGTTTATAGTGTTTGTTCAGAGTAGAAAGAAAGGAAAGTTTGGAATTGTTTTAAATATCGCAATGCCAATTTTGTATGTAAATATCTTGTAGTCATTGTCGTAGTTGAGCAGTAATTGTATCTAAATGGTACGACTTCGGGTTTAGCCATATGTGTCCAAGACCGTTGTGATTGAGAACATATATAGGACATGCATTGTCATGTGGAGCTATAGCATATGGCTTCTTAAATACCATGCCTGGCAGCCGTTGCTTTAATCTATACTCACAAGACTAAATATACAATTGCACTGCACTAGCTTATAGCTTAAGATATAACGTTAGATCATTCATAAAGGCTGGCCGGTGCATCATGAGTTTTCATAATCTTACATCTTTCATTCATGGAGTCAACAAACGCTTGGCCATCTATACACTGGGCCATCTTTGAAATGTTGATGCATAGTACATTTCTGTTATTCTCTGCCTTATAAACGACTAGGTTGCATTTTAATAAACGTTGATAATTAACCATATTGACAGAGTAAATATTGTATGATTTTATTGCGTGAATGGTAATGAGGTTGAAATGTAGTACTTTGTTCTTATTGGAAGGGTTCGCTGAAGATACAGCAGTTTTAAATCAAGTTCAGTGGCGAGTCTCCACGTAGGTGGCTACTGAGTGATTCTTAGTCATAAAGTGTTAGTTATAATGTCCAAGTTTAATGGTAATGTCCTTGGTGCTGAAAAAAGATGTCCCTTATTTACTGCCATTCGACAAATTTGTTTGAACCATTTTTTTTTATTCATGAAAGCTCAAATCGGCAAGTAGGCCGCTTCATTAAGGTCATGAGACAGAGGTAAGGATCAGGCAAAATATCAACAAGTTCACATTATACAAAGTCTACTACACAGAGTTTTACACAAAATACAAGTGAGTGAGGACTGGTATCTGATTCGTATCAGTTCGTTTCGATCATTTCTAATTTATGTTACGTTACTGAATATCTTAAAGGAATTAGTCAAGAGAGGAGAACCGAGGCTTAGAATATTGCAAAGTGGTGAACATATCATCAAAAATTTACGCAGAAGTCCACACGGTAGTTTTTTCGCTATGTACTCGATACGCTATCATTATTATGACAACAGGATATACGCGAACATCTAGCACATTCAAAATATCATGGATTATATCCATCTCAACATTTTTGGTCAGTCTTGCCTTGTTTTACATTGTCATGATGTCACAACAAATACAACTTAGAAATGTATTCACGTGCTAAAAATGTGTGATTTGAACAATATGTGTGTTTAAAAATAGGATATCTACTACATGACGTCGAAGAACTCAACACACTTATCGAGAAACGTAGGAATGACCAGGTGTGCAAAAGAACGCGAGCCGTAGAGAAGCTAGACACATATACAGGCTAACATTTTACCTTTCTGTAACCACCATCTTGCATAGAACACAATCTGAATTCTTTAATATTTTATGTTGATTTGTATGTTGCAGAGAGAAACAAAACAACAACAACAAGGCTGAGGCAATAAAAATCATTGCCAAGGCGACGACTGAATGATATATATTATTTCATGTGGTGGAGCTAGCAATCTACATTACAATTATCAGAAAAACATATTTCCCTATGTTATAAAGACATGCACGTAGTGAAATTTACAGGCTGGGTGGAGGAGGTGTGGGGCAATATACCAAATACACGTATAGGAGGAATCAGTCGTTCTTCCCCAGCAATATAGATTTTATGATGACATACTTACTTTACTTTGGTCGAGTTCCCGCTAGAACCAAACTGAAAACCATCCTCCACTTCACTCTATCCTCCACCAGAGACTGGATTTTATGTCTGGTCTGAAGTTGTTACTCCTTTGACTTTTTTTTACCTTTTGTGGGTTCCAAAAGGACGGATAATTTCTTTTCTCTCTGTGACCTGTTTGAATATGGTCTTTGGCCAAAGACAGCTGTGCTCTCTGTCCATGGTGTGGGGAGAAGACTGATGACCAGTAATTAATCATGCCAGGCAGCAGGATGGGTGGCACGTGGGCACCCGGTGTAAGTTACCTGCTTGATCCAAAAACCACATGGTGGAAGGTTTCCTCCAAACCAATTCCCTGGGGAACGCATTCGTGCAATTTTTGAAATTCTTTCAAAGCGATCGTAGTACTTACACAAATGCCTCCGCCCCAAAGGCGTCGCCAAAAAATAACACTCGTATCTGTTCCTGCTGAAATACAAATGCTTTGATGAAGAATATCAAACTAGAACAACAAATCAAATGCATGGCATTTACCTTAACATCGTCTAGCTTACCAAACTACTGCACTGTTATCTGTTACACAAAAATATCTTTATACAATATACGGTGAGCAGCCCCCCAACTCTTGCTACAAAATGTAGCCCAATACAACAGTCCCAGGATGTCGGTTTCAGCACCAGTTACCATGGTGACAGACGTCTTGACTTTACTTGCTTGAAGGTGAAGTAGAAGAGGAGAAAACAGCGAAATCAATGTTTTCTTTCTATCTGCGAAGGTAAACATAACAAACGGAGTTAATTGTGTTATAATATATTGATATTCCAGACAAACACTATTTTGCAACGTTTCAAACATATATTTGTGGTACTATATTCGCATACGAAAGCAATAACAATAACAAGAAATGTCATGGTAGCAAGAACATAATAGTTCATGTTGAAATGTTGAATCAACTGTCAAGTGTTTCACGACTTTTTACTCACCTCTTCACTTCAGAGCTACGTTGACTTCCTTCTTACAGTGATGCAAGTTCTGTCGGGGTAAGAAAAGTTGTGTCTGATACAATACGTATAAAATACAATACAATACAATACAATGCAATACAATACAATACAATACCATACACTATTGACCAAGTCAAACGCTACAGCATGTCAAACAAGGGCATAGCAATGGAAATAATTGGCATCAATCAATGCAAAATAAAATGCAAATACCTGGATACTTCTCCCTCAAACCATCGACAACATTCTGCAGATTTGCCTCTGACAGAGCTTTCATCAGCACTTTGATCGTAGCGGCGCTACCTTTCCACTTTCTCCACTCCCACAGCATATCCTGACAGCTGGATTTGTCATCGCGGTTTCTGCCGGCAATGTTTCTGATGTCGTGGTCCTCAATTTCAAGATGAACGGCAAGGTCTTTCCAATCCGTCGCCACGTGATTCTTGACGAAGTCAAAGTAGTTACCAACGCCTAAAATGCACAATGTATATTTTCAACATGGATACAAAATGACCATCTATCCCCAAATAAGTGTCACTGGCTGTAGAAGAGAGATTTGTTTCTGCCCTACACGCATACACATGTATAAATATTAAGTATGTATACATATAATACATATTGACTTGTGACAACCCCTACATGCTATACATAGGGATATATATTAAAGACTGTATGGATATTAGAAACTCCTTCAACGATTGTATAAGTTGATACCTATCTCATACTAGCCACCCACTTTTGTATTAGATTAGCCTTATGAAAATGTAGTTGACATGTCCTTACTTAAGTTAGTAGATGCCATACTTTGTACACTGTACAACTGTTGCGCAATAAAGTTATCTATTAAATACATTACATGCATACACATTTTGCAAGAAATAGGGTAAAACAAAGCTATATGCCTGACTAGGATCTTCTTCCATGTGTTAATAATAATAAAACCATTGTTAATTGCGTATTTCTTTGAGCTAAAATATGCTCCTATCAGCTGTGCATTAGATTAAAGATAAATGATATAAATATAAACTTACCTGTATGACTGCCTGAAGCCTCCTCTGGCTGTAGATACGAAAAGTACATTTTTGTTAGAACGAATTCATGACATTCTGCCTGAAGCTAGACTGAAGCGTTGCATAAAATGGTTAACATCACTTCTAAAAAGAATGTATGATATCATGGACATCTAGTTGCTGATGTAACGCAGGATGTGTGTAGATGATTATTTGTCGAGAATCATTGCCTCCGTGTACATCGTATATATGAGTTCTCTCTCACACCATTAGAAAAAATAATCATGTTTTTGCTATGACGCTGTCAATAGACTGTTCTCAGGTTTCATTTCTTTTGCGTTGACAGAAACCAACATTTGAAGGTGAAAGCAATTAGAAGTTGTATTACCTTCTTCGAATTCTCGCAAGGAACGGTGATTGGGAGCATACAGAGATATTCCGGCTTCAACGACCCCTCTCCAGATGATGGCTGATGTTTCGTCAGCCTGCGAGCTTCCCCAAATTTCTCCTCGTCATCAATGTCCACTTGTGGTACTGCAAAGAACTGCACAAATCCTTTACCACTTACACCCAACCTATCTTCGGACTCCATGCCGATGACTTGCATTTGGACACGATTGGTTTTCCGGCGACTGTGGAAGGTCAAGCTTTGTGCCATCTCGCTCCCTGGCATGACTGAGACATTACCGGTTATTACAATGTCTACCTTTTGCCCTTCGTAAAGGTTTACGGCGTGAGTAGGCAGAGGACCCGTGTATCCATGTTCGCTCTTTATAGAGCGATAAATCTCGTCTGCACATTCCTCTAGAGCGCAGTCTATGACAAGTTCGTGTATGCGTAGTTCGTCCTTCGGCTGCAGCAGAAAGAATTGCACGGAGTGACTCTGAAGCAATTTTTCCCAAATCTCCAAAGACCCAAATTTTTCTTGTGGGTTTTTGCGGTCTTTAACATTGATGACGATCCACCTAGATAAGAAATATACAAATATGATGTACATAACATGAGAAACACTCACACGTTTTAAATATTACAATTCCGTGCGTACTTTCCCTTATCGTTGACGAATGATTCATTCTCATTGGTTGACGAATGATTCATACTCATTGGTTGACGAATGATTCATTCTCATTGGTTGACGAATGATTCATACTCATTGGTTGACGAATGATTCATTCTCATTGGTTATGCAAATAAAATCATCATTTATATCAGTTGTTCATACTCTTCACCCAATGGGAGTCTTCTCTTAAGCAAAGAAAGCTATTCAAGCATTTCCTTCTAAATTTTTAAAATGAGGTCCTGACTGGAATAAGTTATGTTTGACGATGTTCATGTTGACTTAACTTCCAAATGCTGCAAGAGTGAAATTTCCACCTTTTATCAGAATAGAATTATAGAATTTTCTCATCAATTATGCAGATAGGATGAAAATTTACACAATCAACATCTGCATATGTTCCTCTCCCCCTTGATTACACATGTCACAAGTTTGTTACAATTGTCACAATTGTTAGATCATAGACCAAAGCAGATTTATAACATTTCATCATTAATTATGTAAATAGATACTGATTTGCATGATTGTCATTTAATTATGTAAAGCATCACTTAAGTTACCTACATACCAGAAATGGCGACAATCCATCAACCGGTTTTAGATTTATCTTACTGTAAACTGTTTCAGACAAATGCCCCTTCAGTTCCCAAACAAGCTGATAGGGGTCCCAGATTTACCTCACTTCTTGTCGAGCACAAGAGCTATCTACCACCCATGACCCTACAATATCATGACCCTAGCATGTCTTGATCAGGAGATAAACTTAGTAATTTAAATGTCTCAGCATGGTGAAGAAAGGTTTTGTTGTCAACTTAAATTACCTGGTAAAATGAGTGACTTCAAACTCCACTGTCGTCTGTGTGACCCGGATGTTAGTGCCGTCTGCCATATCTATCCAGTCGTCCGCCCCCTTCTCACATGACAACACTTTTACTTTGGCAGGAGCTTCGTCTTGGATGTCCATATAGTGTTGGGGATGTGGGACTCGTACTGTGACTGCTTTGTTGAACTTGACGATGGAATCACCCACAGTCTCTACCTTAACAAATGGACTGGTGCTGATAAGACCGCAGGAAGACTCGTGTCTTTTCTTGATGTCCTCAACTTGACTTCGTGAGATATCTTGCACCTATGTATACATATTTTAAGATGTTAGAATTCAATTACACTTGTAATGTTGGTATTGTAAGTACGTTGTATATGAAATATCAGACGTGAATTCATATTCCACAAGATATCAACAGAAAAAATCCACCACCATTGACAAGGTACCTGTAACTAGTTCAGTAAGATAATTCTTTCAATCAGTGACTATTAAATCCTAAGGTACATACCTAAGGTACCGAATTTTCGACGACTAGTCAGTTCGTCTTGATCACGGAATGATACCAGTCTCGCGAAAGAGCACGAGACTAGGACGAGACCTTTCGCGAGACTGGGATCATTCCGTGATCAAGACGAACTGACTAGTCGTCGAAAATTCGGAGGTATGTACCTTAGGATTTAATAGTCACTGATTGAAAGAATTATCTTACTGAACTTGTACTATACGTGACTGATGAATCTCTTCAACTATGTACCTGTAACTGAATTGAAAAGGCAAGAAAAAAATTTCCGTATTCCAGCCTCTCCTCTCAGAACTGCCTTAAATTTACACTGTTTGTATCGCTTGTAAATTTCACTCTCTTTTAACTTCTAATTTGACATTGTTCATTTGTGGAAATATTACTTATCTAATGCCCTGACCTGTACTACGACTTCCATCTGCGATGTCACTGACTGTTTAGGGAAGATAATCTGTACGGTAGGATGAGTCGATGATGTTAGTGTACATCCTCTCGTAGGCACAAAGAACCTGTCCTGCTTCAGTTGACTGACGACGGCAAAGATGGAGAAGTGGTCCACTGACACTGCAAGTGTGTCTTTCAGTTGAGTCTGAAAATAAACAAGACTGACAATGAAAACATACATTTGCCATGGCGACGGTGGTTGCCGTTAGGATTATTGTTTGCATGGCACTGTCACGATTCATGATTTTTGGGAAGCCTTGTTGTGGTCTGTCATGAGTTTGTTGAAAATATTCGAGGTCACAAGTCTCTGGGAAAACCTGCCCTATACCTTCTGTAAGCCCGGGAATCACTATACACTCAGGGGAGGGTAAGAGTGATCCACAGAACTGCACTGTATCTGTCCAGACTGAACAGGTAACAAGGTATATATACTCTCCTGTTGTTATTATGAAATATCATATGTCATCACCAGCAGCAGTTTACGAATAAACATTGGTAGTCATCTGCTTCGTTGCATCTGAACACTGGTAATTGTATGTCGTCATAATTGTATATCCTATTATGTGCACCTGTAGAATTCCTACGATTCTTGCAAACTGCACGCAATTCTGTACCATTAGTCTACCCCTGAGGCGTCGCCAAAAACAGTTCTTTACTACTAGCTACATTTACCGAAGGTTTACACACACACACACACACACACACACACACACACACACACACACACACACACACACACAACAACACACATAACACACACACACACACACACACACACACACACACATATATATATATAATCCCTCCTTTCTATATATTCACGAAAAATTCAAACTGACCCACCTCTTCAGTGTCCATGGTTTTAAGAGTCGTCCATTTTGACTTGTCCTCTGTGACCCACATGGCAGGTTCCCAAGTGACTGCTGGTGAACTGCTGGTACTGTACTGCATCTGTACGGTGACAGGTTCCTGGAAGATCGTCCCTTGTGGACCCAGTTGTATGATGTTACTCACTAATATCTCTTTAGCGAGGGGCAGTGTGATGGCATCGGTGCTGATGACCTGACAGATGAATTCTGTTTCCATGGCGAGGGCTCCAGGTGGTACACTGACAGTACACGACATAGTTTGAAGCTTACCTCCATCTTCGTTCAATTTGTACCTAAATGGGCTGTGACAGAATTTCGATTAACAAAACACTCTAGACTTGCTCTTCTTAACAAAACACTCTAGACTTGCTCTTCTTAACAAAACACTCTAGACTTGCTCTTCTTAACAAAACACTCTAGACTTGCTCTTCTTAACAAAACACTCTAGACTTGCTCTTCACATTATCATGTTATTGACATAACGGGTTTGCATCCTCTAAAATCTTCGTCTATGTTGCCTTGTTATATCCGGAGCCATGTCCAGTTCTACATATGCCTACATGGGTTATTGTTAGGGTTTGGATAGGGCATGCTTCTGGATAGTCTCCGCGTATCCAAGAACGCAGATGCTCCCCAGGTACGGTTTTGGATACGCGAGGACTATCAAAAAAACGTGACTGGGCATGGTTTAAGATAGGCACGGTTCTGGATACAACAATGTTCTATAAAACTGTAAAACGATTGACCGCTGGCAAGAAAACATTGTGACTTAATACAATTAAGTACTCATCCCATGGTGTTTGTTTCCTGAAAAGGTCTATGGTACGTTGGTAACACTGTATTCCACTACGATGCTGTAATAAACTAACAAAACTTTGCAGAAATACCAAACGAACATCTACATTGGACAAATATCCGAGCATATGCTTACCTAGTCACCCTGCCCGATGTAAGTAGCTCGAGAACAATCTTCCTTCCTTCTAGGATGTTGAATGTATTCATAGATGAACAGTAAGCTGGGACGTCTTTTCTTTTGGCTCTGTCTTTCGGTGTCTTACCGTCCTAAACATTTAACAGCAGACATTAAAATTTCTATTATTCTTAATGATTTCATGAAAGTAATACCTGATACTATGATACTTGCAATGATACATTAAAATATTATGACATGACCCATAGATCAGCCATTGTCTTTATGCTTTACCGATAACACTAAAATGTTGTCAAATGTGCGGAAATAGCGTAATACCTTATCCACGCTGCCCATCGGTGCTCCAGCGTTTAGGAGAAGTTCAGCAACACCAAAATTTCCTTCTGAAGCAGCCATGTGAAGAGGGGTTGAACCTCTCTGCAAAAATAGAAAGAGGATGTTTACAGTGCATGGTTTTTTGTTGTCTATGGCTGCCCATTGTTTTTTGGTTTTCTTACAGTGTACGGTGTCACGTTGAAATTGAAAGCGTATTATGGATTTGTAATGTGTGCCAAAAACTTACCGCATCCCTTCTGCCCACCCGTGCCCCAGCCTCAATGAGAAGTTTAGCAACACCGACATGTCCCCCTGAAGCTGCCTTGTGAAGCGGAGTGTCTCTAGTCTACAGAGGTCAGAGCAGAGTCAACAACATCTGGTCAGTGCCTTTAGAAATCAGGAGACTTGGACCATTACCAACTCGACCCATCGCAAGTCTGGTCAGCTCGGCCCACCGCCCTGGTCACTGCAAAGACCGCGTGCCTTTGTCCGACAATATTAAACTATTGGGTTTGGGGATTAGTTGACCAGGGTGTGGGGCCGAGTTGACCAGGGAAATGTGCTGAGTTAACTCAGCCGAATTGGTAATGGTCCGAGTCTTTATCTGTAGCAATGAGGCATATAGTTAGCCTGGGTTCCATCCTGGTTAGTTTACGTCCGCTCCTACAGTCGCTGGTTAGTTTACGTCCGCTCCTACAGTCGGTAGCGACTGTAGGAGCGGACGTAAACTAACCAGGATGGAACCCAGGCTAGCATATAGTACGGAAGCCTTGATTCATCACAGTAATGAAAATTTGCACGTAAGCATTATCTCACACTGGGAAACCTGTCCCCTGAAAGTATGTATATGTCAGACCATACCTCACTCTTACTGTCCACTTGTGCCCCAGCGCCAAGGAGGAGTCCAACAGCACCAACATGTCCCCCTGAAGCTGCGTTGTAAAGCGGAGTGACTTTTGTCTGTAAGGAAAAGGCATTAGTTGGAGAAGAAAACTGGCTTGAAGTTATACCTTGAAAAGTCTATTGCACACGCCGTTTTTTATTCATCTCACCTCATCCCTGCTGTCCACCTGCGCTCCCTTCTTAAGGAGGACTTCAGCAACACGGACATGTCCTCCTGAAGCTGCCTTGTGAAGTGGAGTAGATTTTACCTGTAGGGAGTATAGTTTGTACTTTCTGTTATTATCATTATTTATTAATGTTATTGGTTAGTTACTGTTTTTTCTTTATTATTATTGCCATTATCTTTATTTATTGCATCCCGATTTCACTGTTTATATGTGACTGTTGTGTTTTGTTGTGTAAAACAGGGCCCCATTGAAAAGAAGTGCAATCACTTAATGGGCCGCCCTGTATAAAAATGACGGAAAATAAATAAAAAATAAAACAAATAGTCAGCATTACATAATAGATAAATAAATAAAACCAGATTGCCATAATAATGAACATTTGTATACAACATATGTCACAACCATACGTTATGAAAATCTTAGATGTTCACATGTACCTACCTCCAATAAAAAATATATACACATGGCGTTAAACACTGAAAAGTCTTAAACACAAGTATAAAGAGTTCCACGATCTCATATCTTCGCCAAATAATGTTAACCTTATTTACGACTGACGATATTATACTTTTTGCTCATTGATTATGAGAATAAGATCGTTATTTTATGTCCATCACGGATTATATCGTTGATCATATTCTCCAAGTACATCCTTTTCTTAAGAAAAAGGCTATTCTAGCACTACGTACCTCATGAATTATGAAAATGAGGAAATATTTGAATAAATGATTTGAGTAAGTTATGTTTTTTGAGGTTCATCTTCACTTAACGTCCTGCCGGGAAGTCCAAGTATGAAATTCCGAGCAGTTATCACTATAAAATTACAGCAATTTCACATTGATCATGCAAATTAGGTCTTTATGTACATAATCTATATGTTCAGACGTTCCTCTTGTTCTCCATCACATCTCACATAGTCAGTAGATTTATAGAATGTCCTCGTCAAGTATGTAAATTACATCCTGATTTGCATAATTGTCGCCTCATTATATATGATTATATCAAGCATCATTTACGCCGCCTACATAGTAAAAATCATGACAATCCGTCAGCCGGTCCAGTCCTCAAAGATTTTAAACGAACTAAACTGCAGTTCCAGAACAAGCTGCTTGGAGGGGGGGGGGGCAAACTCATGACACCTAGTCCAAGAGCCTAGCATGTCTAGATCATGAAAGTTCAAAACTGGATGTTCTGCAGCAGTAACAACGAAGGAGGCCAGAGGGCCAAAAATCCAATCATTTCTGGGTCTTATCAACACCTACATAGATTACCTACCAGGTTTCATGACAATGCATGTAAGGCTTCTTGAGTTATGCTATTCACAGACAGACAGACAGACAGACAGACAGACAGGCAGACAGACAGGCAAACGCTATTGAAAACATAACCTACCTTATCCCTGCTGTCCACCCGTGCCCCAGCCTCAAGGAGGAGTTTAGCAACATCAACATCTCCTCCTGCAGCTGTCTTGTGAAGCGATGTGCTTTCACTCTGTAACACAATTCGGCAGAGTAACAGCACAGAGTGGAGTAGAGATTTCCCAATGCAATCCAATGGAACATATGCGTGACAATGAACTTGAAAACGTGTCATGTGTATCAAACCTTACCGTATCTCTGCTGTCCACCTGTGCCCCGTGGTAAAGGAGGAGTTCAACAACACCCTTATGTCCTCCTGAAGCTGCTAGTTGAAGCGGAGTGGATTCAAACTGCAACAGTTTAGAGTTGAGTCAACAACACCTCGTACACAGGCCTAGATTTGCTTCGGGACGTAACATATAAATGATACACTGCGTTTGGAAATCACTAATTATCATGCACCAGAAATGTAAGTCAAACCTTACCATATCCCTGCTGTCCACCTGTGCCCCAGCCTCAAGCAGGAGTTCTACAACATCAACATGTCCTCCTGAAGCTGCCTTGTGAAGCGATGTGCTTTCACTCTGTTACACAGGCGAGAGATGAAAATACATGGTAAGTGTAGTTTAAATTTGACACGGTACTTAACACTTACTTTATACATTATTAAGTTAAACTGTAAAACCAGTAATATGAGCTGTTTATTGCAAATCCATGCCCGAAGGCTAATTGCAAACAGACATTGACAAGAAAAATGTGGTGATATAAGACTATGTGCTAACATTAAGTTCTACGTGTACGATATACTTATGAAACCTACTATCTCTACTTAAATCTAATAACGTTGGTATACACACGGGATAAACAATAGATATGCAATATATGAACAGGTAAGAGGAACAAGGTAACTGCTATTCTAATCTACACTATTCTATTAAACTATCCTTGCCATGCTATTAGGGGATTTGACTTCTTCTCAGGAAGCAGTGGGAGATGAATTGTCCGACTCTTTGAAAAATAAATGGGTTGGGAGACTTCAGCAGACTTTAATATGTATGAAACCTTACCGTATCCCTGCTGTCCACTTGTACTTTTGCACCAAGGAGGAGTTTAACAACACCGACATGTCCTCCTGAAGCTGCCTCGTGAAGCAGAGTGGATTCAGACTGTAACAACAGAGAGCAGAGTTCAGCATGAATGTTCATCTGAGTTGGTGAATTACATTATGAAAAACTTAAACTGTTCTCCAACTCAAAATTTGACTCGGATAGCTGAGGAAGACTGAGTGATTCAGTCGGAAATTCCTGGTGAGTCAAATTTTGAGTTGGAGAACAGTTTAAGTTTTTCATAGAGAGCAGAGTTGACCAATTGGTAATTAACTGTTGTCGATTTTTGCCCTGGTACCCAGCACGCTTACTTCACGTTACGTTAAACTGGAAAACGTGTCATGTCTCGGTAAAATGCGTAACCTTACCCTATCCCTGTTGTTCACTTGTGCTCCAGCCTTGAGGAGAAGTTCAACAACACCAACATGTCCTCCTGAAGCTGCCTGATGAATTGGGGTAGATTTACTCTGTAACAAGAAAGAGCAGAGTTGTTATAAAATATAGTGTAGATATGCCAAGGCATTACATTAAACTGGATAACTTTTTATTTGTCCAACGTATATTGAAAATGAATTTCACTTCATTATGGAATGCACTAAATATGATGTTTTACGTATCAAGTGTACCTCATGGGCATGATGATGATGATGACGTAATAAGTTTACATTTCTCGAAACATGCTTACAACATATTTCAAGAGTCTCGATGCTAGAGACAGATTTGAATATATTTGTACATGTAATGATTCCCAATTTTCCACTTTGCAAAAAAAAAATAGGTAAATATATAAATGACTGCTTTCTTATTAGAAAACATACCGAAACTCGTGATTGTAACACTTTATGAAAGACTTGTGCTAGCCCTTGTTGTTTGAGTAAATAGGATAATTTATATTTAGGTTTTATTCTGTATTAGTTCAGATTATTCAACACATTCATTTTATTGTTTTTTTTTTACTTTGCCATACATTGTAACATGTGCAATTGTCGTGCAATTCAGTTCTTCTATGTCAGGAAACATCACTGTTCGCAACACCAGATCTAAAGAGAGATCAAGGAAGTGGTTACGGGATGACTCGTGTTAGTGTTAGAAAGGAGACACGCATATTGATTGGGTCAGCGCTAGGACCTTTAGAGGTGAAAGTAAACCACGAAACCGGAGTATGGCCGTATGTCGTCGTTATTTGGGCCACAATTAAACATCTTACAGTAATGTATGTCGTACCCAACCCTTGCTGTCTACCCGTGCCCCAGCCTCAAGGAGGAGTTCAGCAACACCAACATGTCCTCGTGCAGATGCCTTGTGAAGCGGCGTTTCACCAACCTGTAATAATATTACGGAACAGACTCAGTACCGCACTGCAAGGAATATTTACCAATGGACAAAATAGCAAATACAAGGAATATTTTCCATTTGACGAAATAGCAAATACATAAAAGATTTCTTACTGACCTATAGTTCTCAACCAACCTCGATCTATGACGTTCAACATGAAAACATTTCGCTTACCAGTAATGTACAACAAGCATTACCTTTTCCCTGCTATCCACTTGGGCTTTCATAAGTAGAAGGAGTTCTACAACACCAACATGTCCTCCTGAAGCTGCCTTGTGAAGCGGGGTGGATTTATTCTATAAAATGGAGAACTGAGTTGGAAACACATGGTAGGTGTAGTCTAGCTTTGATACGGCAAAGTACTCAGAAGTCACTGTATTTACATTGCGTTCAAGTGGAAAATTTGTAACGTGTGTCATGCCTTACCTCGTCTCTGCTGTCCACCCGTGCTCCAGCCTTCAGGAGGAGTTCAGCAACACCGACATGTCCTCCTGAAGCTGCCTTGTGAAGTGGTGTGTCTCCAATCTACAGAGTTCAGAGCAGAGTCAAGAACATATGATAAGTGGGGTCTAGATTTGCTATGGTACACATCACGTATTTTCACACTAGAAAATGTATCAAGTTTGAATAACCATGGAATAACGTATGATGTGAAACCTCACCTCATCCTTACTCTCCAGCTGCGCTCCCTTCTTAAGGAGGAGATCAACAACACCGACATGTCCCCCTGAAGCTGCCTTGTGAATTGGGGTGGATTCAAACTGTAACAACGGAGGGCAGAGTTGATAACATGGTAAGTGTGGTTTAGATTTGACAGGGTGCCCAACAATACCTAAATCTGGATCATTTGGCATGTATCTGTATCTGTATCGGTATAGCTGGTATAACCGCCCTTCGGCGTAACAGTAGCTAGTAATGTGCATCAGAACTTACCTCATCCCTGCTGTCCACCTGTGCCTCAGCCTGGAGGAGGAGTTTAGCAACATCAACATGTCCTCCTGAAGCTGCCTTGTGAAGCGATGTGCTTTTATTCTGTAACACAATTCGGCTGAGTTTACATTACATGGCAAGATAGACATTTCTCAATGACGACAATGCAATCCAAACTCAAGGTGACATATGCGTAATAATGAACTTGAAAACCTGTTACGTGTTTATAACCTTACCTTATCCCTGCTGTCTACCTGTGCCCCAGCCTCTAGGAGAAGTTTAACAGCACCAGCATGTCCCAGCGAAGCTGCATAGAGAAGCCGATCGGATTCAAACTGTAACAGAAGATAGCCGGGTTGACAAAAGATGGTATGTGTGATTAGCCGATTAGCCATGGTACCCAAAAAACATAAGTGGCATTGTCCTGTCAGTCGTTAAGGTTAACATCATATGATAAACAGACACACCTATACACAGGTATACATACATGTATATATCTCTCTCTCTCTCTCTCTCACTCTCTGTATATAATGTGCATCAGAATATATATATATA